TAACATATTATTGAGTTTAATGTTTATTTGTCTTAATGTTTATGATATTTTCCGTTCCGTAAATAACATTATTTAGATATTATTGTTTTACTTCCTTATCAATCTGAGATTTACCCATAATAAAAATAATCTCTAATGAAAGCGTGTCTTGTCTAAGATTAGGATATCCTGCATTAGATAGTTAGACTTGAATATTATGCTATTTATCATTAGATACGTATTAAGTGTTATTTGATTTTCTAAGTACTGATAAAAGATAATATTCAATTAGATTTGTTCGTTACCTGGGTCAACTTTTTATTGTAGGTACCTAAGCATTGAAAAGTATCTGAGTGTCACAGAATGGGAGCTACTGTATTTTGATCACTAGATGGCGCCACGGTGACCCTTCCATTTTTCATCCAATAGGGAATTAGCTAGTGCGACACCAATGGATGTTCAATATTTGACAGCTGCAGTGATTGGACAAAAAAAACATATTACTACTACAACAACAATTGCGTCATCTCGTGACCAAAAAAATTTACGTATCCTAGTATGCATGACCGGAATTTTATATTACAATGTTAAATAGCAATATGTGTAATATTACCGGCCACTATAGGTATTACAGCCATATATTGCAGAACAATATAGCTCCGTTTACAAGCAACCCTTATACACCGTAAAATTTGAAAACGTTGTATTTAAGACATAATGCCACTTGTTCTTAATTTAATTCTACATTAATCAGTTACAGGAAATAAGCCGTCTGATACATAATCATTTATCAACGTTTCCCACATGAATGAACAAATTGACGTATTTTCGATAGAATATTAAGTAATTATACCCGAAGAAGAGTATATAGTTTCAATAATAATAAGAATGGAATGGCAGAATTTGAGCCGCTTGTCACGTGTGTGTGTAAGATCAGTATCACTTCGATTTACATTTTATTTGTTATAAAAACGCTCTTAGAAATTTATCTTTCATACATTAAAATAAAAATAAAACTGTAAAAGAAGACGATTGTATGAAATCAATTGGTTATAAAATAAATAAATAAATCAGCAGGTACCTACGTATAAGTAGATATAACAAAAAATACGACAGCAAGCAATGCATAAAAATAGTTTTTATGTTAAACTGTTTTAATGAACTCTATTCTACAAATCAAGCCCTTTCGTTTAATATCCATAATGCAGGAATAGTTGTGGAAAAAATTAGATTATATTGTATTGTATGGTAATCAATTAAGAGTTATTGAGAGAAAGAGGGTGAGAACGAGAGATAAAGAGAGAGAGATAGGGCAAGCTAAATAAAACCGTTTACAAAGAACTAGTGCTTCTATTACTTAAATTCAAGATCTTGCGATCGAGAGTAAGCAGAGCCCTCTAACGTTTTTCTGACTTCTCAAAACTTTAAGAGCTATCGACGACTTTAAAAATAACAAATAAATGAGAATACAATATCTTCTATCACCTAGGACTTAGATAATTCGTGAAAGGTGGTAAATAGACGATAAGGACATAAAACAATAAAGATACAGCTCTACGTGTCCCTTTTTTGACTTACAAATTTACTGATACCTGACGATTTATGGCAGCCAATAAAAACAAATTGACGGTAAGTACGAAAGGGCATTTTAAAGAGGACAACGTCATCCAATGCCTTCTCCCGCCTTGAGTAAGGCAAAAGAGAGTGTCAGACTCTTACTGACTAAACACCACCCCTTTCCTTCTCCTGCTCTTCGAGCCAGAGCCCCGGAAAAGGCAAAGAGGGCTGTCACAGCAGGGGTGTTTTGTACACATTATGTTAAGTATCAAATTCACAATATCTTAAGATATTAACCTATCTGGCATTAAGTATGCTATCGGAAGGACATCTGGAAAGTCGGTAAATACTAATACTGATTAGGGGATTCTATACTAATATCAATAACTTTTAATCTTTATACCTATGTAGAAAAACAATGCAATCATTAACGATTATCCCTGTTGTATCCATGTTGATAAACGAGTGCACTGCTACGTAACGTATCACACCCTTTTTTAATAGTACAAAGGTTCTCATGTTTGTTTTTCTTTGATATTGAGTGAGAGTTCAGTAAACCCTTTCATTAATCCACATTTTTCCACTTAGATAATTTTTTACTGAGGAATATCTAATAACTTTGAATCGAATTCTACAATTAAGAATTCAATGATAATTGAAAAAATCGGCCCTTATTCTACTGATAAATTAACGGTAACAACGTAAATTATATCCATGAGAAATACAAATTAATATGGTCATTACATTAAGTACATTACATTATTACGTAGAAGTATAATGAATGCGCGCATCTTTGAACAATACTTGCCCACCGATAAGAAAATAAATAATACATCCAATACATTGAATGATTTAATTTTGTTCAACTTGCAAAATTTTCCTCCTCGCCTAGAATAAAAAATCGATTAAAGATTTTTCTGAATTGTATATTTTGCTAGCTGAAGCCGCAACTTTCGTCTGCGTTTTTATAAAACAAAAGTATTCTATGTTACTCCTTATTACTTTTTACCCGAACGAACTTATTGGAATGAGTACCTATAGGGTGGACCCTGTTTCGAAAAAGCAAAAATTTGGGCCATGCTACATTTTTGCTAGACTAGGTACACTACTAAGTAAAAATCATAAAAGGCGACAGACGGGCATTGAAGTCACGTTTCCAATCTGATGTTCATGAAATTGGTGCCTTCAATGTCTCGGTCAGGGCAATGCCACATTACACTAAAGATTTGAATTGGTTCAAGAATTGCTGTGACCGCTACTTATTTATTCAGGATGTCGATTGGACCTGGACTATATAATCATCAATTTACTTATTACAATCGCTACTCAATAAAACTGATAAAAATCGTCCAATTAGTGTCTCTGTATTTTTATAAGAACTATCGTGAGACATAATATATTAACTAAAAATCGCGGGTTACTCACGTGAATATACTGAGAAAAGCTCTACTAATTTCGAACCACAGAGGGGTTCTTCCTCATGAGCAGCGTGCGCGGTCGCGGCAATGTTAGTAGGATGCGTGACATCAATAAATATATTCACGTGAATAACCTTCGATTTTTAGTTAATTTAGTGTCTCTATAATTTTAAATTAAAGCACACAATCCAATGCTTCCAGATCAATCATATAGGTACCGATTTTTTAGCGTAAACAAGTTGATAAATTAGGACTAGTACTTAGGTAGGTACTTACCCACAAAATAGTTATTTTGCAATATTAGATATGGATCTACACATACATTTTCAGATTATCTTATTATTTGCAAATAAGTATGATAATACTTACGAACAGATATTTATAATGAGTCACGTGCATATCTATCGTTAAATATCCGTTTCTTTAAACTTACCGGTCGTTACAGATAATGATTTGTCGTTATTCGCTAAGCAACAGTTTGGATTGATTACATTATTTAAGTTTAGCTATGTAGGTATTTATTTGATTTCCGTTATATGTTTTGTTTTATGTTGCTTATGTAGTTATTTTACGTGTGAATTAAACAAAATATTTCATAAATCAAAAGAAGAACATAAAGAGGTTTCAACTCTTGAAAGTGGCCAGTTTACCACAGATAGATATAAACATGTTTTCTCATTTAGCAAAAGAGAGAAAAATTATATTATCTAATAGATATCTATGTATCTGCTCACATAATTATCTGTAGAAAAATCATTTAAATTTAATTTTCAAATAAATCTTGAATATCTTTTGAAATCTATCTTGAATCTTGAAAAATAATTTTTGAATAAAGAAATATTTTTTTCAAAGTTAAAAAAAAATCCCAATCCGTCCGACACAGATAAAATATTTAATCACAGAAATATTCTTTATTATATCTATCGTAAGTAAAGGTACCTAAGGAATTTTCCAACACTGCTTGCGAAATATGTTTTCGATGAGGAATTATTTTTAACCAATTGTCTTCATAATTTTAATTTTTGTAGTACATATATTAAGAAATTACTGATCAAAACATGGTAACGCACGCAGGTAGCCCCTCTACCTAGTAGTAGTTCTAAAAATCCGGTAAAAACTTGAAATATTGAGATTTAAACAATGAACGAACACGCAAGCATATCCTAACTAGGTAACATAAATACCGTAAGATTTTTCTGTATTTATTAAATTATGAAAAGAACGTGGTAATGAAAGAATGAATTGGTTGGATGGCCTGTAATTAGCGGTCAAGGACGAGCGAAAGATTAAAGTGCCAAACACATCGATCAATGTAGGTACGCTATACATCATGTCTGATCACTTTTATATGAAATAACGATAATTGTTTCAAACCCTTATTTGTGATTATTGAACTTTAAAAATATGAAGTCAGTTAAAATATTAAAAACAAACATAGTTCGTGAAATTTCAAAATTATGTCCAATAAATAAGGTTAAGTTCGCTCCTTATAAATACAGGACACTTATTATTAACAAAAAAAAAGTTTGCATCTCTGCTTCGTGTCGGTAAATAAAAAGTTAAAAAATGACAATTACAAAAAAAATGACAACTAAAATCGAACCATACCCTTTCAAGATTAAAGTTGAAAATTCAAACTTGCAAATGTAAGTAGGTAGTAGGTTTAATTCCGCAGCTTTTAGTGCTTTGCATTCTGTAGACAATTGGTATCGAATGCCTCAGTTTTGACCCGACCCCATCATGTGTTAATTTAAATACGAACGTGCTGGGACCTTCAGTAGATGAACGTTGGACACATTATTAAATATTATTGTCCTTTGGTTTATTGTACCGTAAAGCTATAAATCAATGTTGCTAGGTGCCCTACTACCTTTACGTCTATAATTTAAATTATATTTATGTGGAAAAGTTCAGTGTAATCGACCTTTTTTTCGTTACTGACGCGTTTATGTGTTACGGAAAAATACGATAGAATTTCTACTTAAAAGGTTGTGTAATAATTCGACATCTAAATAAGAGCAAATTTTATAATTGTAGAATACTTACGAATGTGAATCCCACTCCTATTCCGACCACATATCCCCAACCTCCGTCTGGAGGTACCAGCCCCTTCTTAGACTTCTTCTCATCACTTTCAATATGCGCGAAAGCCTCATCCATTTTAACAGCAACCGAATATCACGTTCCAAATGTAAAACCCGGAAATCTCAACAACCCGACGAAATATTAACCCAAATATTTTAATAGATTAGTGAATATTATATTATTTAATTTTAAGTTAGTTATTTTTACTAAAACACGTATCCATTTGTAATTTACGAAGTTACGACGGTTGCATTGTATAGGACCGGCATCGGCACGTCCTCGCGACACTGAGTCTACAATGAAAATACTCTCAGAGAATGTACACAGCACATCGAAACTATAATCAGTTATTTGAACTTATAATAGACGCTTAAATGATAATAATTATCAAAAAAACAAGTTTTATTAAAACCTTATGAGGCTCCGTCGATTAATTAAAAATAATTATGCAGATTGCGAAGCTCAATTACATAATTCGGAATCGAATTCGCACGTGGCTTTGAATGTGTTGTTTATACTATGTAGTGTACTATTGTGATAAATAGATTATGTTTCTAGACTTTAAGTAACATTGAGTAATATTGACCATGACATAAAAATTACTGAAGGGACGTTAAAATGGAACTGACAAGGCTATAATTATATTGTTAATAAATATAATATAATAAGTAATAGAAATACTATTACTTTTAAATGACCAGAAGATAATGCTAGTAGCTCTTAGGGCAACATCTGTACTGAGATGATTCATAGTTGCTGAAAAATATTTGTACTGAAACTTCTCATACGTATGAGATTCGAATCCATTCATAATAGGGATGATGACAGTGTATTAAAATTAAAAATCTAATTAGTCCGTCAGTTAGATAATGAAAAAATGTTAGACACGTATTTTTTTATAAGAAAACAATACTTAGATAAAACGAATCAAAGTTTAGGAGTGGGCGATAGCTACGTCATTTTAAAGTATAAATCGTACTCAAAAGTGACGTCAAGTGATATTTCAAATCAATATATCTTCGAAGCTATTCGTCTCCGTAAGAAAATAAAAAATGCGTGTCTAATGTTTTTAAATAATCTACCAGACGGAAATTAAAAAAAAAACATTAGTCATCTACCCTACTCAGTAGGCAGGACATCTAAATCTACTTGTTACTACATCTAAACTTAATTGTACCACATTTTTATGAACCTGAACTTCAGGAGTTCTCTCCATATGACTCTTTAAATGCAACGACACTACCATACATATATTATTCGATTACTTTACCATCGTACTAAAGTGTGTGCACAAGTACATTTGTTTACAACTAAGCGATATTAAATACTTATTACGTAGGTAATTGTACCTAGATAATTTGCACACAACAACAAAATATGTGCAACTTCAAACATATTAGTGCTCATAGTATCTCATAATGTAAATAAGAAAAAACTAGCTGCTACTCGAGGCTTCGCCCAAATTGTTCAAGGGAAATAAATGTACAAACTACGTTTAAATAAAACGACTGCCATCTACCAATTTTGAGGGCGGTTTATTAATATACCTTATCTTACCTGAAAAAGGCACCAAAATCGGTTGAGCTAACAGCGAGATAATCGCGCACAAACAAACAAACATACATACATACTTACATAGGTACAGGTCATACTAAGAATCTCCTTGTTTTTTTTTTAATCGGTTGAAAATGTAGCGCTGTTAATGCGCTAGTGCGTCTCGGGTCTTGGCCACAGGCAGAGGAGAAACACCGTGCTAATTTTAACCGGTAAGAGTCCGGCACGCCGCCCCACGCCGCGCCGTCACCACGACGTGGAAACTCCGAGAGGATTTCCATCGTTACAAAAAAAACCGTAGCCTAGGGTCAAGGTTGCAACAGTGGCTATGGCGACAACAGTGGCTCAGTAGTAGTTTTTCGTAAGTCAATATAGATAGGTATTCACTCTTTAACTTTATACATATATCCAGACATAAAAATCACGCCACAAAATGACTCCGTTGTAAGCTATCACGTGAAAGAATGACAAACAAACACAATTTTACATTTACCAGGACTATTTATAAGTTCTGGTTACATAATACTTCAATTAAGAAAATACCTACGGTAGGTAAATAGACAATGTAACACCCACTTTTCACTGTTCATGTTATGAGTCCCATGTAATAGGGGTTATTGCCGTATACCGGGCACAAATCCAGACTCCGTGCTACTACTGAGATTTTTTAGACCTAGTAATACTTTGCCCGACCCGGGAATCGAACCCGAGAGTAAAAGGCGTGATGTTATGATGTTATGTGGTAAATAGGTACATAACATAGTCTTGGATTTCACGGAAATAGATTTTGAAAAATGTAAATGTAATAAACTGGTTTCTTGATTATCTCCACAGATTAAAGAACATCTTGTAAAAAATACGGTAACTCGATTGAAATAATAAAAGCGGCACTATGTAGGTAAAAATTATTGGCACTACGAATAATGTAAATCATAGACATATAGAGGTATAGTTTTTATAATAATGTTATTGTTTAACATAAAAGGTTCAAAGGCTTTAATTATACGAATCAAATCAATAAAAGAAATAGAAGTCTAGAACAATTGCAGAGAACACCTCTATTCTAAAAAAACCCTATTGAATACTAGTATACTATTATAACTTTCGTGAGACATACTAAATTAATTATTGTGTTTTCTGCTTAGACATTGGACAGTAGCAGCGCGATAGTCGCCGCGTCGCGGGTCGCAGAATTCTGCTCATGAATATAAGCCTCTAGCATGGCTTGAAACTAGTAGAGTTCCTCGTCAAACAGTTACGTGAGTAAGCCAAAAACAAAATAATTAATACTAGGTAGTATAGCAAAGAAACAGCAAGAGAAAAATATTATTAATATACCTACATTACTACAATTATAAACTAACCTAATAAACGAAATCTACTAATATCTACTTTGAACTGTAAATATACTTTTACATTGAAATAAAAAAGCTTTATATTTATATATATTATACTAGCGACCCGCCCCGGCTTCGCACGGTGCAATATGCATGTATTATACATATACCTACACCTTTCTTAAGAAACACTATCTATTAAAAAAACCGCATCAAAATCCGTTGCGTAGTTTTAAAGATCTAAGCATACATAGGGACAGACAGACGGTGGATAGCGACTTTGTTTTATACTATGTAGTGATATATAGTACCTATACTATAGTAGTAGCAGTAGTTAGATAAAGATAGAAATACCAATTTTATATATGCACTTTACTGTAACCAAAAAACTCCAACCAAATGTTTTAGATTTGCTGTTCAATGAAATTAATTTCGTAGAAATAAATAAACGTCATCATTACTATATAAGGCTTTATTGGTTCAGGCGTTTCTCGACAAATCAAACAATTGTCATTGTCATGGCAAGATAATTACTTGATATCCTGTAATTATTGACAACACTACTTTTTATCTGAAGGGTTCAGCAGAAAGAAATCAACAGTTGTCACATTATTTTGACGAATTATGCCAAAAACTAATAATTAGATTACATATGGGTATACTGCATAAGATTTTACTTCAAAACAAAGTTCCTAAATATTAGTAACAACAAAATTAGTAATATGTAAATATAACATCATGCGTTTTATCCCCGAAGGGGTAGGTGTACAATGTAATACCCACTTTTCACTATTTATGTTATGAGTCCCATGTAATAGGGAGTGAGCCTATTGTCATATACCGGGCACAATTGTAGACTTCGTGCTACAACTGAGATTAAAAAAAAACAATAACAATTTAGCCCGACCCGGGAATCAAACCCGAGACCGCTTACCTCCAGTCAATACAATTGATAATAACAGATAAAATTACAACTAAGCATGACAATCGTTTTCTTTTCCGAATAAAATATGCATAAAAAATTTAAAAAAGAAATAATCTTATAAATACCTACGTCTACATAGGTATCTACTTAGGTCTGCATGTAATTACTAAAGTGACATTATTATTAGGTACCTACGTTAAGATTACGTAACTGATTTTATTAATAAAACATTTAAACTAAATGCTGTTCTTTATTGGCTGACCACCAATCAATACATTAATAAAAAAACCGTTAAACGACTAAATGACTGTCCGTCACCGCAAAACCGAAACAAGTACGTTCTGGTCGTAGTATGCTGATTTTTTAATGTTTCTTGAATCTTGAAAAGAACAGGAGAGGTATCTCCCTTTTTTATTTGATGACGGGGGAAACCTTCAAAAGGCGCCTAGCTTTTTGGGGATAAAAGACTAGGGAGTGTGAGATTTTACCTCACTAAAAGCACCCCGGTGACCACCTTCAACACCCTGAGCCTCCAAGGAGAGATATCTCCCTAATATTATGAATTTCTTTAATAATTTTTTTTCTGCTTCTCTTATAATATCTTCTGATTCACTTCTTTGCGGGAACCAAGGCAGTTATTCATGTCCCTGAGACGCGCCGGACTTCAGTGTTCCGGTGTTTTCATGGTTGTATCTACTGTAGATCCTGGCTTACAGGAGTTGCAGCGGTTTTGGATGGTTGTGGCGGACTTGTCCCTTAAAAAAAAAATTTTTTTTAAGTGACTTTGAAGGGGAATTTGAAGCGATCGCAATAAAATTTGGTAGAGAGGTAGATTATGGTCTGGCAAAACACATAGGCTACTGATACTTTTTAAGCCACGGAAACACGGACGAAACCGATGATACGTTTCATAGTGTTCAATATTTTCCGCTATGCTCTAATGAGCATAATTTTCTTGCACGTGCAAAGTCGTGAGCTAAAACCAGTTAAGAGTGAATGCACTACAAAACGTTATGCAAGATTTTGTATCAAAGCTATAAACATTTAAATCATATCGCGGGTTTTCAAGGATTCGTTATCACATTGCCGAGTACCCGGCTGTACATGAGATTAAATCGGAAACGATTATAATTATCTTACCTAAGACAGATTGAGAAAAAGTGCACTGTATCGTGATTTATTACGTCGCTCAGTCTGTAAGTAGGTATCGATATTTTTTTACAATACAATTTGGCGTGATATTATACAATAACATAAAA